GCGTATGTGTGCGTGCCCAAGATCCCAAGAGGAGAATGGAGGAGAAAGGACTGCGGCGTGACCATCCCCCCCGGGGGGTGATTTCTCGCGTTCTGTCTCTCTGTCTGTCTCTGTCTGTCTGGCGAGCGCATGCGCCCTATAGCAAAAACCTCTCAAAAAAAAAAAATCAATGAATGAATGAATAAATAATAAAATAAAATAAAAAGTTATTATTATTATTTTTTAAAAAGAATGATTTAAAAAAAAAAAACTGGTTAAATTTTCTCTAAAGGCAAAAAACAGTCAGTGACCAGGGTGGGGAAAAGAGGAACATGGAGTTAAAAAGCAGTCTTTGAAAACAAATACAAAGCCCTCGGCTATGAAAGATGATGGCACAACTGGAAAATCTGAAAATGGCCTGGACTAGGTAACACTATGGGTTACTAGGTAACATGGGCTAACATTATGATAACTCTTTTTTAAGTGTGACAATGGTCGCAAGACTGGGAAGATAGACTGGGAGGATAACATCCATCTTTGTGTGTGTGTGTGTGAGAGATTTTTGCTATAGCGTGTGTGTGTTCACTGGAGAGACACATAGACAGAAAGCAAGAAATCACCGCCTAGAGGGATGGCCATGCAGCAATCCTCAATCCCTTATCCTCCATCCTACTGGGAATTTGGGCATGTGCACACTCACGCCCAGAATGAGTTTTAAGCTGCTGGGTCTGGGACTCAAACTGAGGTCAACTACGTGGGAGTCCAGCGACGTAACCATTACGCCATCTGATGGTCCCTGTCTTTCATCTTAAGAGATACACATTGAAGCATTTAGGAGTAAAATTAGGCGATGTCTTCAGTTACTAATGGCTCAAATAAAGACAGGGAGAGAGACAGAGGTTTATGAAAACTAGCAATTGTAGGATTTAGGTGCAGGATATATACGGTCCCACTCACAGTGCTCTTCTTCCAGCTGGGTACAGGTATGAAAATTCCCATAATACGAAGCTGGGGAAAAAGTTGACTGGCTCTCAAATCTCAGTGGTGAGAGGATCCATGGGAACCACTTCCATTGAGGGGAACCACTTCCATTGAGGGGAACTGGGCCAGAATTCACGCACCTACCCTATGGTCTGGTGATCCCACTTCTAGGAACATATCCACATGTCTGAGAAACTGCCGCATCAGTAATGGTGGAGTAGGGACCAGCAGTTGGCGTAATGGCTATGTTGCTGGACTCCCATGTAGTCGACCATGATTCGAGTCCCGAACCTGGTGGCTTGAACTCACACTGGGCGCGTGTGTGGGCGTGCCCAAGATTCCGAGATGAAAATGGAGAAGATTGCAACATGGCCATCCCCCTTGGGGGGTAATTTCTCCCTTTCTGTCTCTATGTCTCTCTGGCAAGCGCACGAGCCCTGTAGCAAAAGCCTCTCCAAAAACACACACACATACACACATGAAGAGGACACACTGGCTCTCACTCTGACTTACCGCGTGGTGCCTTGCGCTGCCTCAGGACCTCACAGAGAACCCCCACTAATAAAAGGCCTCACCAGATACAGCCCCTTGGCCTTGGACCACCAAAACCATGAGCTAAATAAACTGCTATTCTTTATAAATAATTTAAAAAAAAAACAAACCACCAACTTTTACACATGTACTATTTATTCCTCTCCCCCTACACACACACACACACACACACACACACACACACACACACGACCCTGTACATGTACAGAGTATCTGGGGAAAAAAAAAGAATGGGAGAACACCACCTCTAAGGAGGAATGGATGGCCAGGGCACGGTGGGAGAAGAATTTACTTTTCACTTTGCCCCTTTTGGTACCTTTTGAATTGTGAATCACATACACATTATTTACAATTACATTAATACCAAACCAAACCAAAGTTGTGTAGGTCAAAGGAAAAGCCGCCTTACCTGAGGCAGCTATCCGACCATCTTCAGGGGCCTTTGGTTTGCCAGTTGCCCGGACAGCAAAGATCCGCCCATCGCTGGTGCGGATGTATGTCCCTGAGAAGAGATACAAGGAAGACTGACAGGAGCAGACAAGCGAAAGAGCCAACCCTGCGCAACTCCAGAACCAGGCATCCCGGACTGGGAAACGGCTGCAAATCAGGCCTCATATCCTTCAGGTGACATGAGCAGTGGGGTGACTGAGCTACAACCCATAATTATTCATTCATCTCAGCAGCACTACCTGCCTGCCTACCATGTAGCAGGTACTGCTCTAGACAAGAGTATGTCAGACAGAAAGCTTGTCTCGATGCTTGACCTGCAGGGAGAAGTTCACCAGAAGACATCAGGGAGAGAGGAAATTAAATGCAACGGAAGAAATAAATGGGATGCCAGGAAAAAGAGTAGGCTGGTTGCTCAGTTCTCAGGCACGCTGGCCCAGGTCCTCCTCTTGATCTTCAGAAGGAGCTTACTGCCTCAGTGGCCTCTCTCCTTGGCAGGCATAATTCAAGTCCTGGATTCTATTGCCATGAGGCACCAGTCTACCTTCTCAGCTGACCTTTGAACAGCATAGGTTTGAACCTTGTGGATCCATTTATATGTAGATTTTTACCCAATAAATATGTTAGAAAATATAGTATAGCACTATAAATGTATTTTCTCTTCCTTATGATTTTAATATTTTATTTTCTCAACTTACTTTACTGTAACAGTAATAATACATGTAACACACAGAATTTGTATTGGGCTGGCTTCATCATACAGCAGTAATGTGCTACTTGAGAGGAGCCAGATCAACATGGTGACTATGGTTCGAATCACTAACCACTCTACCCAAAACGAGCTGGGCACATGCATGAATGCCAAGTCAGACAGACCGGAGGCGCGGAGGAAGGAGCTCAGTGTGACCGGACCCTACATAGTGCTCCTCTCTCTCTCTCTCTTTTTTTTTTGGAGAGGTTTTCGCTATAGAGTGCGTGCGCTCGCCAGAGAGAGACAGACACAGAAAGCGAGAAATCACCCGCCAGGGGATGGTCATGCAGCAATCCCTTCTCCTCCATTCTCCTCTTGGGATCTTGGGCACACACGCACACGCGCCCGGCGTGCGTTTTAAGCCACCGGGTCCGGGATGTGAACTGCAGTCGACTACATGGGAGTCCAGCGACATAGCCATTACGCTAACTGCTGGTCCCTCAGAGTGCTCCTCTCTTTATCACATGCGTGCACGCACTCTATTATGAATGATAAAGTTTTTTTTTTTTTTTTAGAGATTTTTTGCTATATGGTTTGTGTGCTTGCCAGAGAGAAACAGAAAGTGAGAAATTACCCGCCCCCCCCAGGAGGGATGGCCACACCACAGCCCCTTCTCCATTCTCCTGTTGGAAATTTTGGGTAGGCATGCACACACGGCTGGCATGAGTTTTAAGCTGCTGAGTCCAGGACTTGAACCAAGTAGTCAACTATGTGTGAGTCCAATGATATATAACCATTACACCATATGCTGGTCTCTACAAAGAATTTTTTTTTATACATAAAGAAATAAAAAAAAAATTTAAACAAGATATGTGTTAATCAACTGTTTATGTGGTTGATAATGCTTCCCTGGTCAACAGTAGGCTATTAGTAGTTACAGTTAAGTTGAAGAGGGACCAGCAGTTGGTGTAATGGTTATGCTGCTAGACTCCCATGTAATTGATTGTGGTTTGAGTCCCGGACCCAGCGGCTTATAAAACTCACGCTGGGTGTGTGTGCATGTGTGCACGTGTGCCCAAAATCCCCAGAGGAGAATGGAGGGGAAGGGACTGTGCTGTGGCCATCTCCCCAGGGGGTGATTTCTTGCTTTCTGTCTTGTCTGTCTCTCTGGTGAGTATACATGCCCTATAGCAGAAATCTCTCTTAAAAAAAAAAAAAAGTTGAAGAGTTATTTGTAGTTGAGAGTTGAGTTTGTAGTTAACTAATGTGGGTGCCCAGTGTGTTTCAACTGATTGGGACAGGGATTCAGACCACAGTCACCAGAGGGAATCCAGCTTCTCCTGAGTAACACATCCATGGTGCCAAAGAGCTGGCTCAGATGGGGACTTTGTGAAGTACTACACTCAAAGACGTAAAGATGACATGATAACATTGTTGGCTTATAACTCACTCTATAGCTCTTACCCTCCGATTTCTGTCTCCTGGGTCTACCTGTCTCCATTCAAAGTTCAACATAAAAACAATGGCAAATACAAGAACCTACAAGAGACTTTAATTCCCTCTGTATAAACCACTGACTGATATCCCTGGGGCTCAACCCCATTGGCTAAGCTCCTACAAATGCCATTTGCTCGTGCCTCCCCCAAGTGAGATACCCTTACGGGGTGGTGTCTATGCTCTCTTGAGTGAAACAATGTGTATTTATTCTGCTCCCCCACCGAACACTTCTATCCATGGCAGTGGATGTGCCCCTCGGCCAGGTGCTTACCTTTCGTCCCACGAATGATGTGGATGCTCTCACCAGCATTAATTCTTGCCTGTACATCTGTGGAGCTGTTGAGCCCAGGGATAACGATATCTAGTAAAAAACACCGAACTCAACTTTAGATTGCACAGGCTCTGACTGAGGGAGGGAAAGCATATTCAAAGTCCCACATGTACCCCAGTTCCTCGCTGGTTTCCCTAACACCTTTCAGTACCACTGAGGTTCAGAATTGAGAAAAGTGAAGCAATCACAATCTTTTGTCATTTTCTAAACCAAGGTTACTATGAAAACAAGAATCTTTTTAGAAATAGGATGATCGGGACCAGCAGTTAGCGTAATGGCTATGTCGATGGACTCCCATGTAGTCGACCGTGGTTCAAATCCCGGACCCGGTGGCTTAAACTCACGCTGGGCATGTGTGTGTGCGTGCCCAAGATCCTGAGAGGAGAATGAAGGAGAAGGGATTGTAGTGTGGCCATCCCCCCGGGGGGTGATTTCTCGCTTTCTGTCTCTCTGTCTTTCTGGCGAGCGTATGTACCCTGTAGCAAAAGCCTCTCCAAAAAAAGAAAAAAAAAATATATCGGATTATCTTTCCAATCAATTTCCCATGGTTTAGTTAGAAATTCATAGTTGGGTCAGCCAGTGGCATGGTGGTTAAGAAATCTGGTCAGCCAGTGGCATGGTGGTTAAGAAACGTGGCCGACTGCCTGGTTTGAGTCCCAGACCAAGCGGCTTGAAAAAACATGCTGGGTGCATGTGAATGCATGCCTAAAACCCTGAAAGGAAGGAGAGATAGAGAAGAGACTGCAGTGTGACCATCCCCCATGGGGTATATTGTCTCATATTCTCCCATTTCTTTCTGTGGCAAGCACACATGCCCTCTGGCAAATTAAAAAATTTTAAAAATTTCAAATAAATAAGAGAAATGTTTATAGTTTTAGGTTTGGCAAAGGTTTTTTGAATTCAAATGTTTATTTTTTTTCTTTTTTTTTTTTTTTTTTTGAGAGGTTTTTGCTATAGAGTGCGTGCAATCACCAGAAGGAGAGAGACAGAGAGCAAGAAATCACCCCCCGGGGGGATGGCCACACTGCAATCCCTTCTCCTCCATTCTCCTCCCAGTATCTTGGGCATGCATGACACACCCAGCGTGAGTTTAAGGCACCAAGTCTGGGATTCGAACTGTGGTCGACTACGAGTCTAGCAACATAGCCATTACGTCAACTGCTGGTCCCTCAAATGGCTATTTCTATGGATATTTTTCTTTTTCCCTAAACTATCTGTATCTATCTCATATCATTTTAGGCTCCCAAAGTGGCCTCGTTCTCTCCCTTGATGGCATTACTTTACCCATGAAGAAGATATTCAAAAATGAGCAAAGTGGCGGGATGATAAAGGGGTGCTCTTTTCACTGTTTCAAAATTTTTAAAGTGAGCACATATTATTTTCATTTTCAGAAAGGTTAAGATATTTCCATTAAAATGTATATATCATGAATCTTTCTTTTTCTTTTTTTTAAACGTCTACTTATTTATTTCTCCATCTATTCAAGCCACTGGCTTTGGGACTTGAACTGTGGTTGGCCATGTGGGAATCTAGTGCCTCAACTGCCACACCACCTGCTGGCCCCTATCATGAATATTTTTCTAAGTAATAAGATGAAAACGGGATATCATGAAACGTTTTCCTTCCCATTTACCCTGATCACAGACTCCGAGGGCGATGGGCTGTTCTCCCTCCTCTGCGCCCTGGCTCACCATGCTCGATCTCTACCACACTAACAAAGAAGCAAGGGGCCGTGAGGTCTTCTCGTTACACAGAGAAGGCAATGGCCGTCCTTTATACCCAAGGGCCCCACAGTCAGGCTGAGCTCATCCTAGTGCACCCACATGAGAACGTGAGACAAGCCTGCAGGCCAGTGACGTTCTCACAATCCCCACATCCCCTATCCCAGCCATCACGATGGAGAAAACCCAGTCCTGGGTTTTTATTAAGACATTTCACTAGAAAATAAGTTCCTCAAGATTAGGGACTGACGTATTCTTTACTTTTATCTCCTGGGCCAAGTGTGGCAAGACCCAGAATTAAACACCCAGGTGTTTAATAAATACTTTCTGGACGAACAAGGTAATTTCAAAAGGGACAGTGCACCAGAACAGAACCCCGGACTTCCCAACCTGTTGTGGTGACCACCTTCTGCACAAGGACTCCTGCGCGCTGCAAGTAGTTGATCGGGAAGTTCATGGATGGATTTGTGCTGGAGGCAGAGCTTACGCTGCCTCCCAGTGGGACGTGCCGAGGCATCATGGGGATGGGGGTGGACTGTACGGGACGAACGCTGGCCACGGGCTTCTCATCACCCTTCAGTGCTGGCTGCCTACGAGAGAGAGACGAGCACGTTCGGCAGGACTGTTCTCACTGACCGTTCCCCAAGGCTGCAGAGCCTCTTGTTTTCACCTCAGTTGCCACTAGGCGAGCGAGAAGGATCAGAAGAACCTGCATGGTCTGGTCAGTTTGGAAGGCGACTAGAAGGAGGACTGAGGCAGAGTGGCAGAGAAAGAAGCAGAGGGGTAAAGTTTCAGAGTTTATAAGACTCAGATGCCAGTGGAACAATTCATTTCTGGAGGTGTGAGGTGACTCCTTCTCCAGAATTTGGAGTATCTATTAGAATTTAGTCCTTATGCTAAGGGAAGTTAGGGAGATGAGACGATACAACAAAGAACAAGTTCATCAGCCCCCACTGTGTGCTAAGTTGAAGATCAACGGGCAGGGTTTTCCCCAATCACCCAAGGACAAAGGGCTGTGTGATGCCACATTCAGGTGATCTTGAGAGACTGTCCTTTCGAACCTTGACCACCTTTACTCTCTCTGAAACCTCGAGTCTCAGTAAGTGACGCAGACACCTCTCTCTCCTCTGCGCTACGTTTTTAAAAATAATTTTTCCTTTTAGAATTATTTTAACTTTATTATTATTATTTAATATTTCCAGAGAGAAATAGAGTGAGTGAGACAGAGAGAGACAGACAGAGAGAGAGAGAGAGAGAGAAGGAAAGAAAGAAAGCAATCCTCTAGGTCTGGGACTCAAACCGTGGTCGGCCATGTGGGAGTCCAGCGCCCTTAACAACCACATCACCTGCTGGCCCCAAGAATTATTTATTAATTCCATTTGTTATTATTATTTCTTTAATTTGACCAGACAGAGGCAGTGAGAAAGAGAGAAAAGGAAAGCAAGAAAGCAAGTCGCCAGGTCCAAGACTTTATCCACCATGCCACCCTCCCCTGCATTACTTTTCACCAGGCTCCTCCTCGAGCCAGTCTCCAAAGGTCCCCCGCAGTCACGACTAGCACAAATGCAGCAGCTGTCGAAGCTGAGGTGCTCAGCAGCACAGCACCTAGGGCAGCCTACGCGCTGGCTGTGCATCTTGAACATGTCAAAGAGCCACCCACCGTGGACGACTCACACTCCACTGTCTCCGTTCCTTTCAGCTGGCCGTTGGTACTGTGAAAAAGCAACCTCTGGTCTAAGATCTCTGAAAAAAGTCTCTGAAGTTTGCATTCTTGGTCCCTGGGTCTGGGAGAGAGACGGCCGTGCACGAGCATCCTCTTCCTCATTGATTAAAGATGAGCACACAAAGAGGCACTTTCTCAGCACTCTACGTAGCAGCTGGCCTGCCTATCTCAGCCATGCTGCTCTCAGGGTTGGCCACTTTGGGCAATCGCCTGGTCCCTGTGAATGCCAAAATTCTCAGACAGGCCATAAGGCACAGGTCTGGGTCCCACTGCCTCAGTGTCTTCCCAAGGTGGGTTGGCAGGACTTAAGAGGTGCGAGTCAGATGTCAGTGGGACTCCTCCCAGGATCAAAAGTCAGAAGGGTGACAGGAACCCAGCCTAAGCTTCATACTCTGCTGTAGCTGAGGCTTAGGAATTTGGATTGGATGGTCTACTCGCGTGTACAGACAGGACAGGGGCTCGCCAGCATCATTTGCAGCTCATCAGATGCTGTAAGAAGCTGGACCTCCACAGGGCCAGGGCTGAGTCAGAGCCAGAGCAGCCCTCTCACAGCCCAGCCCAGACCATCTTTCACATCTCCCCCCCACAATGCTTTTCTCCCATGGGGCTCAGGCTCAGCCCGCTCCTGCCACTATATGGGAAGGGAAAAAGGAGCATAGGATGAGCGAAGACCAGGTGACAGTGTCTTGGAAAGGGACACAGAAATAAGAAGTGTGAAGGCTTTGAGAGTGAGTGACTTTCTACTCAAAAGTATCTTCAATTTATTATATAAAAAGCAGCTAAGGGACTAGCAGATGGCATAATGGTTATGCTGCTGGACTCCCAAGTAGTCACCTGCGGTTCAAGTCCTGGACCCAGTGACTTAAAACTCATGCCTGGCATGTGTATACGTGCCCAAGATCCCGAGAGGAGAATGGAGAAGGGATTACCTCCCCGGGAGGTAATTTCTTGCTTTCTGTCTCTCTGTCTCTCCAGCAAGCCCACACGTCTCATAGCAAAAATCTCTTAATATATATAGGGCCAATTTACTCACGAAAAAATCAGTGCCATATAATCTCTTATATGGTTTCATGCTGTAAAACTTCATTTGGCAAGTTAAAAAAATGGAGAATCTTGACAAGAGAAAAGGTTTAAATCTACCCCCCTCAATAACATAAATATCTTTAATTCAAGATAATCAAACAATTAAAAAGTATAAACCACTGAATCAGGCTGTCATTAAGTGGGAAGGGGAGGCTATGTCTTAAAATGGAGGGGAAAAAAAAAGAACATGAATGTGCTATAGTGTCTTACAGCCTCTGCCTGCGTAGCAGTGGGTTTCCATCCTGTTCATATTCTGAACGGTTCTAGATGCTGTACTCAAGAAAAAGATTTTTTTTCCCCCTTAGGCTCATGACAGCCACAGAATGAAATCCCATTAAGAGCAGAACTCCCTGACTGCAATCCAAGACCCAGAGAGAATATGGCCTTCACCCATGAACTTCACTCACTGCTAAGTGAGTCTAAGCCGAGGTGCTAGGGGTGGGATGTAACTGCATTGGGAAGCTGCACCCACCCTACTGAGGAGCCCAGAAGGACTCTCCAAGTCCCAAGGCCAGCAGTTCACTTTCCCAGTCAGGGCAGTCAAAACACCAGGACTGAACTGCTTTGGCACGCTGCCCTAGAGCAGAACCTATCAGTTCACGACAGCCAAAGAGCAAGCAGTAGGCTTTCCCATGGTATAAAAAAGGAACCAGTGGGCCGACAGGTGGCGTGTTGGTTAAGTGCTGGACATTCCCACATGGCCAACCATGGTTTGAGTCCTGGACCTCGTGGCTTGCTTTCTCACTTTCTTTCTCTCTGTGTGTCTGTCTTTCTCTGGTCAAATTAAAATAAATGAATAAATAAATAAAATAAATAATTCTTAAGAAAAATAAAAAATAAATGAAAAAGGAACTAACTGGAAGGCATCAGGCTCAGCCCAGCAGCAGACCCTCCCCTTTCAGTGACTCACCAGTTTCTCTGACTGAAGGCGGGGATGCTGGTCAGGCTCTGGTCGCTGGCAGGGTAATATTGCGCGTACGACGGGCGAGTGTAGGGGACAGACGTGCGCTTGTCTTCCTCGTAGCTCTTCTTTGCTGCTTTCTTCTCGGCCTTGGTCAGCTTGTGATCCTTTCGGTTGAGGAGCAATGACTCATGCTCGAAAGGCTCCTGGGGACACAGAAGGACACTGATTTAATAGCCAGTCTTTGCGCCAACACAACGATGTACAATGAGCCTTACTTCGAGACCCAGAAAGGGCTGGCTGTCTCCAGCACTAGCGAAGAGCCTGCTCGCAGACACGCGAGAGCAGGGTTACTTTAGCCTGTCAACTGTGTCATTCACGAACAGAAGCAGTTTTAGACACCTAATTCTGCCTTCCACAAATAAGGACGGGGAGTTTAGAGAATTAACAAACTACATTATTATATATTTATATTTATTTGTTTTTTTTTTTTTTTGCCATGGGACATGTGTGGTTGCCAGAGAGATAAAGAGAGAGAAAGAGGGATAGAAACAAAGTGAGAAATCACTCCCCTAGCAGGGATAGCCACGCTGAAAACCCTTTTCTTCTATTATCTTCTTGGAATTTTAGGCACTCATGCATATGCATCCAGCATGTTTTTCAAGCCACTGGGTCCAGGACTCAAACTGCGTAATTGGCCATGTAGGATCCAGTCACCTTAACCACCGTGCCACTGGCTGTCCCCCACCTCCCTTAATACCAGAAGGTACATGCAAGAGAGACAGAAGAGGCGTGGTGGTTAAGGTGCTGGATACTCCCACATGGCCAGCAATGGTTCGAGTCCCGGACCTGGTGGTTTGCATTCTCACTTCCTCTCTCTCTCTCTGTCTCTATCTCTCTCTGGTCAAATGAAAAACTAAATGGATTAATAAATAAAATTTAAAAAAAAAAAGAGAGAGAGAGAGAGAGAGACAGAAGAGAGAGAGATGGAGGGAGAATGCTGAGTACCCCTCAAAAGGGATCTGGTCACATCACACTCACATAAGGATTCTGGGTGCATGCCCATCATGTTTTTTATGCCTACATGACCAGGACTCAAACCTAGGTTGGCCATGTGGGATCCAACTTCCTCCGCATAGCTCCTGACCGCTGTTGAACAAGGCCAGCCTCCCCCAACCCTTTACGTTAGGCAAATACATCAGCCAAATTATTACACACGGCCCTTAGGACCAGACTAGGGGAGGGGCAGGCAGTTGGGAGCAGGAAGCAAGACTCCATGGAGCGAGGAAAACAACCACTGAAGTCCACGTTGGCCGCATGGACCACCAGCTTGGATGAAGAGAACGAGCTTGCTGGACAGCCTCTCGGCAGGCTGTGTGCACACCAGGCTCTTACCTTGGTGATAAGGTGAGGGTACTTCAGACAGGCGAGTTGCAGGACCGACTCCTTGATCCCCTTTATGTTTAAGGAGGCTTGGGGGGCTGGCTCCTTCTCCACAAAGTGCAGTAGGTTCTCTACCTCCTTCCGGGTAAAGTTCAGCATTGGATTTAGGTCATCCACCACCCGATCTAGAAGGTAGAAGGCATGGAAAAAGTCAGCACAAAGCAAAGAGGATGTAAAAAGCCCAAACTACAAAGGTCAGCCGAGAGGAGAACTGTGAGTGGCATAACTGTCACTAAGAGTGCCACGTTATCCAGTATCTGAAAGTCAAAGATCAGGTCTGAAGCCCTGGCAAACTGGAAACGTCACGGGAGGAAACCCTATGGCTAGCTTGGCTCTGATCATTAAACCCACCTTCAACAAGTTGAGGCCAATCCCCTTCCCAACAGTTATGTGGATCAGAATGAGAAGGGAGGAACTGCGGCTTTCTGCATTCAAAGCCTGCCTATGCTCCCACACCCACGCCTCCTCTCCTGCCCTTGATCCTATAAAGACGGGAGCCTGTGTAGATGTGCCTCTCCTAGCTCGCAAGGTGGCCCACCTGACATGCCCTGCTTGGAAATCTGGCGGTCATAGATCTTCTTTTCGAGGGTGTAGTCAGCCACAAGGCGATAGATGTGACAGGGCTTTTTCTGGCCATAACGGTACACCCGACACACTGCCTGGGCATCATGGCAAGGGTTCCAGGAAGCATCAAACACCACCACACGGTTGGCACCAATCAGATTCACACCCAAGCATCCGGCCCTTTAAAACACAAGCCAATAATCACTGAGCCTTTAGTCTTAAAGATGGTTTTCAGGTCAGTTGTCTCTGCGACTCTGACTCCAAGTCACCCTTTGTCCTGAGCATGACATGCTCCAGGATTTTGCTGCCTGCTGATGAGCAGTGCATTCCACGAGCCCTGAAGTGTACCCTAAAACCCAGCAGAAAAGAGCTCACCAGCTTAGAAAGACAGACTCCCCTTACCACTGCCTCCCAACCCCAACCTAACAAGTACAGACCCCACATCCTGGCCCCAGGGAATGTCCTTGGTGAGGAGGAACTTCTGCACACACATGTTCCCAGTTTAATAGCTCAGGAGGAGGACTGGCTCACACCTTGCCGAGGGCACTCTGATGACAGATGGCAACACAGCCTTCGGGTTGCTTGGCATGAGACAAGTAACGCCATCAGTCCTTTGCAGTTACCCTGCACCCTCTCCTTTATAAAGCACTTCCACATTCACCACGTCATCTACGCCCTCAGGACACTCCTGAGAGAAAGGCTAGTTATGACCACTGTGAACAAAGGTCCTGAAGAACTCTGCGACGCAGTCATGATGGCCTTCTGACACAACGTCCTTTAGGGGTCCCCACTCTGACCTCAAAACCCAGAAGCAAACCTGAGAAAACGTGGACAAGCCTTCACGGCCCCTGCCTGTGTGGCCCGTTGTCTCAACGCACCTCTTTGACCTCCCCTCTCAGACCCCACTCACCTTGTGGAGAGAAGGAACAGCCAGGTGGTGAGGTTGCTGGGATCATTGAACTGATTAATGAGCCGCTCCCTCTCAAAGGCAGGGGTGCTACCATCTAGCCCTGGGAAGGAAGGAAAAAAACACAAGAAATGGATAGATGAGGGCAAGGGTAACCTCAAAACCTCGGACAAGTGTGTTTCCAAAACAAAGTAAAACAGGCAGGACAGTACAGCTCAGATCCAAGCCCTTGGACATGCAGGTCTACATGGAGACCCAGGTTCTAGAGCTCGAAAACACCCCCAGGTGACTCTTGTGAGCAATACAGATTATAAACAAATGATGCTTCTCTCCTTTGGCCCACATTCCCAGACCCCGGTGCAGGGAGAATCACAACTTGGGAGCTTAGGAAACACTGGCTCAAGGTGACTTCCTTGCCTTGCCCCATGAGTTCTGTGAGTATAGAAGGACAACTGGTTTTATGTTTTCTTACAGAGGATGTTCCCCTACCAGGAATTGACCAGCTCTTGAGGCTAAGCACTTGCTTAAGGAGACATAAAAGATCTAGAGGAGTGGGACAGACATGTGAGTGAAAGGGGGAGAGCTCAAAAGGAGAAAAATAACCTTCAGTTAAGAAATAGTGCAACTGAGGGACCAGCAGTCAGTGTAATGGCTGTGTCGCTGGACTCCCACATGGTCAACTCCAGTTCGAGTCCCGGACCTGGTGGCTTAAACTCATGCCAGGCGTGTGTGCCCAAGACTTCGAGAGCAGAAAAGAGGAGAAGGGATTGTGGTGTGGCCATCCCCCCTGGGGGAGTGATTTCTCACTTTCTGTCTGTCTCTGTCTTTCTGGCAGGCGCACTGCGCCCTATAGCAAAAACCTCTCCCCCCAAAAAAATAAAGAAAGAAAATATATAGTGTAACTGAGAGAGGAGAGGCAACATTTATCCCCTCGGTTCAAGGACAAAGGTAAGGGTATGAAGTACTCCGTGGACAACAGAATTACTACAGTTCAGAAAACAACTGTTTGGGCCAGCCAGTGATATGGTGGTTAAGGTCGCTGGATCCCAAAAGGCCAACTGCGTGGTTAGAGTCACCTGCGCGGTTAGGACCCTGCGTCTTAACAAGCTCTGAATACGTGTTCATGTGTGCCCAAAATCCCCAAGGGAGGGAGAAACAGGGGTGATTACACCACCATGAGAGGTGCTTTCTCACTTTCTCTATTTCTCTCTGGTGAATGCCTGCACCCTTTGGCAAAATTAAAGTGAAAAAAAACGCAACTATTTAACTACCTGGTATTAGGGCTCTCGATCAGGACGTCACCCTGCTTTTCCAATGAGTTCCCACAATTTCCAAGTAGCACTGACTCACTGTCAAGCTTACAGTAAACACAAGCTCTGGGCCAGACTCTGTGCTGCGAGGGTCTCCCTGCCACCCCGAGCCTCCATTTCTCTAAATCCTTCCTTTAGGTCAGCGGCTCTTTTTCACCCTCCCACTACCTAGGGGACATCTGGCAATGCCTGCAGACATTTCTGGCTGTGGACACTGGGGGAACTACTGCCATCTAGTGAGTAGAGACCAGGGAGACTGCTGAACATCTCTAATACACACGACAGCCCCTACAACAAACCACCCAGCCTGAACGCCAACATTGCTGAGGTCAATGTTTCTTGGTTTTTAAAATTTTATTACTACCCCCTCTAAGGTTCTTTTTTAGGCATCCCCCCCCAATCACACTATGCCTTTCATGAAATCTTAATACCACAATTTGTTTATGTGCTGTTATGTGTATCTATAACTTAAACAAAAATTAAAGTTTTTTCCTACTACTTTTTCCACCAAATAACAGTTTTGATTCCTTTAGGGTGTCACCTGCCCCACAGAGAATACACGGGCTAGGCTGTTCTCTCTGCTCCTTCTGCCAGGAATTACCTTCGGGCCTTTTTGAGATGTGCTCTCCAGCTCTCGTCCCCACAGTGATTCTGTCCTCCTTAGAACCCCGTGTGGACACTCAGCCATTGCCTCTTCACATCTGTCCCTGTGCTGCCACAGCTCAGATGAAGATAGGCCCGGGCCTTCGACTCCCCTACACTCCCCCATCTCCCCATGGTGCCCCCCCGCCCATCCTCCAGTGCTTCCTACACAGCAGCCAGTTTCTTGGCTGACACAGAAATTCCTTTGCATTTGATGGAGAGTGGAAGAGGAGAAAAGAAAAGCTGACAGGAGAGGAAACCCTTGAGCAGACCCGCCAAGGCCCTGGGATAAGGCAGTAATGGACTCACGGAAGTAGCTGACATTTCGAACCCACTTCTGTGCTCCTTGCCCCTCGGCACCGGGCAGACAGGGCACTTCTCGCTTCCCTAGGAACTCCTCGATGAGAGCCAAGGTGGAAAGGCTCTGGCTGAAGGGAAAATATTTGATTTAGACGCTCGCACACTCAAGGGTACCTTGCTCCCAATAGGCCCCACAGTGGGAGCTCCCACAACCTACTCCCATATGAGGTCACCCCACCAGGAGGATCAAGGGTCTTCATTCTCCCTAGCTCCTAATAGGGGCAGAGGCCTGCAGAGGGTTAACATAACCGTCGCCACGACACAAAACTGTTTATTCTCTCTGTTCCTTACCTCCCCAATTGAAAAAGTCTGGGGTTTAGCTTAACACACAGTAACAAATAGCATTCGGCATTAAAAACCTATATCAGATGGAATACCCGTGACCTGCCTAGAGGGTCCAGGCACTCTTAGGGGTCTTACTAGGAGACAGGATCCCTAGCATTTGCTTCCACGATATGGAGAGCCAGTCTCCTCAGAAGTGATCCATGCACTCAGCAGATACCAGCTATCCCAATTTAGAATCGCTCTGTCCTCTCAAAGTGGTTACATGTGGAAGCCCTGACTCAGGGCTCCTGGGTTTGGCACTCTCTGGAACACAGTCTGGTCAGAACACAAAGGAGCGGCAATCTACACTGTGTCTGTTTTCCTGGGGGCAGGTAGTCAGGCCTTGATGAGAATCAAAGCTAGACCACGAATGTGACTGTGGGACAAATCATATCAATTATTTGGCTTTATATATACAGTTTAAAATAATAATACAAAAATGTTGGGAGGGACAGAGGTAAATCAGACCAGAGGTCAGCAAATGTCTTCTATGAAGGACCTGATAGCGAATATTTTGGCTTTGTAGACCTCGGACAATCTCTGTTGCAAGTTCTTTGTACTTTTTAAAACAGCCCTTTAAAATGGTGATAACTATTCTTAGCTCTCAGGCTGAACAAAAACAGGACAGAACCCAGATCCGACCTGGACCACAGTTTCAAAGACTGAACTATGATCGCCAATGTTAGCCTAGGGCCCTAGAGTGTCCCCTGTGGAGAAACTGCATCAGGCCAACAGAGAAACTCCAAGAGACACAACGTGGACAGGTCCTCACAGAAAGCACTTGGCTGCAGCGGCACAGGGGACTGCGACTGGTGCCACCTTTGCTGGTCTTACTCTGTAAGGGTTGTGTTACTCCTTCCCACAGACACAGCTTCACTGGAAACTGTCCTTCCTACCTGAACACAAGGATCTTGTCCCCAAGCTTCACGCTTTCCTCAATCAGGTGGAAAAGTAGTACCATCTTGGGAGAGTTCTCTAAGACGCCAGTCTGGTAATTAGTCAGAAGTTCTTTGGCCTGCCAGACAGAAGCAAGGCATTTTGGAACAGGTCAAAGGCCAGGTCACTAAAAATAAAATCCTCTCCCTCCAGGGCAGCAGCTCATTGGCCACCTTTAAGTTTCCGACAAAGAACCTGGAGGGCAGTACCTCGTGCATCCCCACATGGGCTTTCACAGCAGCAGCTCATGACTGTGGCAGCGCCTGCGACTCACCCACTCGTACGTGACGATGTTATTGCCTCGTTCGTGGAAAGGGTTGAAGCCGACTCCCTGCAGGAACTTGCTGTTGGTTGCCTCTCCCATCGAAGAGGGCAAGGTGCTCTCCTCTACTTTGCCTTTTGCTCCCAGTGGCGGGCAGCGGGCACTGGTCCCTGCTGAGCTGAACCGAGCTCTTCCACATCTAGGTCCTGCTCATTGGCCAGGTTCTCTTTCTGAAGGGCTTCATACAGCACGTCAGGGTGATTCCAGATCTGAGGTTCAAGGAAAGTGGGGGCACAGGACAGAGATCACTCCAAGGGTGTCCTAGAAAATCTTGAGATATGCACTTGCTCCAACATGCACCTCCCACAGCACACAATGTCACACCAAAATTAGAGTACTCCCAGCCCCTTCACAAAGAGACTGCACAGTTGCTTTTACTACCGGATGGGTCACCATGACACATGACTGGCAAACTCCATACGAGGGGCCAGGGCAGTGTTCCCAGTACATATCAGAGCAGTTGTGAGGCAGGCTCTGCATTCTCATGCACATGAGTAAGACTGTCCCGGTTTCACTGTGTGCCTACAGTCAGCTCCTGTGTGCAACAAGACTAATTTTTCCCTGTGGACAAAATATATTTGACTGAGATGACCAATCAAATGTTATTTCAGGAAGTATTCCTGGCAAGAGTTGCAAATTCCTAGGAAATGGGGAAGAAGGAGGAAGGATGGATGCACTACCACTGAAGCCCTGCCACAGACTGTACTTGCTTTAGTTTCCTGGATTAGTTTCTAGGACTATGGCTACAAAAGAAATACCATATTGACCTTTGAACAAGGGGTTGAGTTGACTCCCATGCAGTCAAAAATCTACACAATCAAAAACCCATGTATAGGGAACCAGCAGTTAGCGTAATGGCTATGTTGCTGGACTCCCACGTAGTCGACCGGGGTTCGCGTCCCGGACCCGGTGGCTTAAAACTCACGCCGGGCGCGTGTGCGTGCGTGCCCAAGATCCCGAGAGGAGAATGGAGGAGAAGGGATTGCGGTGTGACCATCCCCCCTGGGGGGTGATTTCTCGCTTTCTGTCTCTATGTCTCTCTCTGTCTGTCTGGCGAGCGCACGCGCCCTACAGTGAAAATCTCTCAAAAACAAAAAAACAAACAAACAAACAAACAAAAAAAAAACCATGTATAGAGACC